GACCAGTCTTTAGTCAACATCTTCTGTAGGGAGATATTGTCCTTCAGATATCCTAGATCCAAGTTGTATACACTATACTAAAAGAGCAACTAGTCTTCACTCATTGCAGATGCAAATATGATGGAACTATCCACATCTCCTATAGGGAAAGGTAGTCCTTCAGATATCCTAGATTCCAGCTGAATATGCCATAGTAGAAGAAGGACTAGCCTTCAAACACAATAGAACCAACATCTCCTATGGGGAGATGTTGTCCTTTTCTATCCTGGACCACATATCGATATATGCCATAGTAGAAGAGGGACCAGTCTTCAGTCATAGCAGACACAAATATGATGGGACTAGTATCAGCATCTCCTATAGGGAAGGGCAGTCCTTCAGATATCCCAGATTCAAGCTGTATACACCACAGAAGAAGAAAGACCACTCTTCAGTCATTGCAGATGCAAACATGATGGAACTACCAATATCTTCTATAGGGAGATGTTCTCCTTCAGATATCCTGGATCCAATATTTGTATATGCCATATTAGAAGAGTGACCAATCTTCAGTCATTGCAGATGCAAATATGATGGAACTATCAACCTCTCTCCAAGGCAGACACATTCCTGCAACCCACTGCTTTTTTCCTTGGCCCTGGGTATCAGTTAATCCATTTTCCTTTGTCCATTGCTCCTGCTTTCTAGGAAAGATGACGGTCATCCTTCCGCAGTTTGGAAAGAAAGGGGGAAAATGCAAAAGAAAATCACAGACGGAAACTGGACTTGCCAATGGAACAGAAGAAATATGTGATGTTAACAGTTCACTGAGCTGTGATATGAACAAGCTGGGTGTTGGAAGAATGAAATCTAAGCTTAAAAGTACATTTCCAGTGTTAATAAAGCGTTCTCCTTTTGTTGTAAATTTCCAAACGCTGATTCCAAGATAGGTGTCATCTGTTTTCCTCTAGAATTAGACACTGGGACACATTTAAGCCTTCGGAGTCTCATTTCTCTTTGTTAACCGGTAATGCCAAGACCTCTGCTTTTTTAAAAACCTCCATCTTTCACTGTTTTTTTCTTTTTTCATTAGTTGGTGGCTAGTAACTCACTCCAAGGCCTTCAGGTACAAGATGAAATACTCTCCTTCCTCTTGTGTGCCCATCATCCCCTATTCCATCTTGCTTCTCTACATGTAACATGATCATCCCAACGATGAAACGTGGTTTGACCTATACGTCAAAAAACTCACAGAGTGTTATAGGCTGCTTAGGAATGCAACTTCTCAGACAAATCAGGGAGAGGGAATGTAACTCTATTATTTCTGTTCATAGGCTGCATCTGCACAGCAGAATTAATGCAGTTTGACATCACATTAACTGCCATGACTCAATGCTATAGACTTCTGAGATCTGTAGTTTTGTGAGGTGCTTAGCCCTTCTCTGTAACTTATGCATTTGTGAATGGTTATCTAGCTTATGCATTTGTGAAAGCCCTAAGTCTGACTTAAACATTTGTAAATGCCTTAAGTCTGGCTCATACATTTGTCAATGCCGTAAGGCTAGTTTGCATATTTGTGAATGCCATAAGTCTAACTTATGCATTTGTGAATGCCATAAGTCTGTCTTGCACATGTTTTTTTTTTATTTTATTTTATTTTGCAGATTTGGGAGGCTATGAGGCCATGCTCTAGAATAATTTATTTGTGCACATTTGTGAATGCATAAGTCTAGCTTGTGCATTTGTGGATGCCATAAGTCTGGCTCATGCATCTGTGAACATCTTAAGTCTGGCTCATGCATTTCTGGATGCTACAAGTCTGGATCATGCATTTGGGTTGGGAATGCCTTAAGTCTAGTCTAGCTCATGCATGCATTTGTGAATGTCTTAAATCTAACTTACACATTTGGGAATGCCATAAGTCTTGCTTATGCATTTGGGAATGCCATAAGTCTAGCTCCTGCATTTGTAACCACTCAACAGCATCTCACATCTTCCTCTCAACATCTCCACCAGGCTCCCTCTTCCCCTTTTGGTGACCCATTTCTTCCTTTTCTTCGATGCAGAAGCAGAGCCCCTAAATTCAAGGAGCACCATGTCTTAGTCAAGTCAATACCGATGTTGCACAAAGGCAGTTGCTGACTCTAAACTCTCACGCATGATGGGGTCATAAACCTACTTTGCAAAATTAATGCACTCCCCAGATTTCCCCAGAAGTAAATAGACAAGACCACAAAAGCCCAGGTATGTGATCAGGGGGCCAGATGTTTTTCTTTCCGAACGGTGCCAACAGATGTTTCATACCGAACATTATGCACTATACTTGGCAGAACCAAACACCCATAAAACTTGCAGAAAGAGAGATGGGATTAGCATTCGCAGCTCTAATGTCTGCAGTTGTCATTCGTGACAACTGTCTGCTGTTTGGAGGCGCTCCCTCCAAAATGCTCATAAGACTTCATCAATTTGATGGAAGGAAATTAGGATTTTACCAAAAAAAAGGAATCAGTTCTGGAGAAAGTGAAACGGACAGATTTATCCATCTCTACATTAGGATTGCAAGGAACCAGTGTGGCGTAGTGGTTTGAGTGTTGGACTACGACCCTGGAGATCAGGGTTCGAATCCCTGTTTGGCCATGGAAGCCTACAGGTTGACCTTGGGCAAGTCACATGCTCTCAGCCTCAGAGGGAGGCAAAGGCAAGTGAATTCAGCAACAACCTCAAAAAGAAGTCATTGCGTGCCTTCAAGCCAATTTATGGTGACCTTAAGGAAACCATGATAGGTTTTCTTGGCAGGTTTTGTTCAGAGGAGGTTTGCCATGGTCTTCCCCTGAGGCTGAGAGAGTGTGACTCACCCAGGGCCACAGAGAGGGTTTATATTTCTAAATCAGGGATTCAAACCCTGATCTCCCAGAGTCTGAGACCTAAGACATGAACCAGTACACCACCCTGGTGTTTAAGATTTATTTAGAGACTTGCCATTGACTTTTTCTGAGGCTGAGAGAGTGTGACTTGCCCAAAGTATCCAATCCAAGTATCAGTTAGCCATGGTCTCCCACTGTTGAGTTCAGTGCTCAAGCCACTACATCACAAGGGCTCTCTTCTTCCAAACATTTTACAGTAACACTTTTTGGACTGTCGATTCGGACGTTTCAAACACATCGGTCCTTGGTGAATTTTTCCCTCCCATTAAAGAATCACTTGTGTTTCCTGGTGTTCATTTTTGATCCATTCAAGTCCAGACCACTTTGCAAGGACAGTGGTGCTTTAGGGGGAGGAGGGAGTTGTTTTACGGATGTTATTACTCAATTTCCAGATCTCAGTCCTCTTCCACTTTGTTGCCTTATTGCATTTCTGCAGATTGAAAAGCCCATTTAACTCTCTCTTTGGTTTTTCCCCCAAAACTCTGCAACTTCCCTGTCACTTTCAGTTTTCCTTCTCTGCCTTTCATTGCAGGACTGGAGATCTTTTTTTCTCCCCCCTCAAAAGATATTTGATTTTTCTTTTTCCTCCCTTAATGCAAAGTTTACCTTGAGATACAAAATAAGGTTTCCCCATTTAGGGCCTATTTAGGTTAGAATGAGAAAGTTACTGGCAGATAAATAGATAACAAATGGAGGCTTTTCATGGGTATTTTTTGCCATTGGCTTCCTCTCCTGTTGGGTTTATGCTCTGTGCCCAAAATGGGAACAGGTGCTTTTAAAAAAAAGAGAAAAATCAAGAGGAAGTCTGCAACAAAATTTTGCATTGTCCAGTCGTCCTGTTCAGGGATCCAGCTAAACAATAATGTGCTTTTCCTAGATATAGCATTTTCCTCCATTCCTGTTAAATTCTGACAGTATCCTCAGTCATCATTGAACATTTTAGATCCTCCTCTATTCAAGCACAAGAGTAAATCTAAATTGTTTCACTCTTCCACAAAACTTCAAATTTCATACCTGCCACAACTGTCCTGATTTGGCATAGAAAGTCCCTATTAATCCTCTGCCTTTCCACTTTTTCATCCGCTTTTAAAATGTCCCAGTTTCTCTTCCCTCCTCCCCCTTGGCCTTCAGTTTACTTCGATTGCTGCAAACTGAGTTTAAAATACAAAAATAGTTCAAATCAATTATCTTAGTGGGCAGAGAGGAGAATGAAGAATCTTAGCCCACCCAGTTTGTTGTTGCCATTGTGTGCCTTCAAGTTGTTTCCAACTTATGGCGACCCTAAGGCAAACCTATCATGGATTTTCTTGGCAGGTTGCTTCCGAGAGGATTGCTATCGCCATCCTTGGAGGCTGAGAGAGTGTGACTTGACCATCGCCTACTATCAGACTCCACCTACGAGTGTTAGCTTGCACCAGCACTGCAGAAATAAGGCACTTTGACACCACTTTAATGGCCATGGCTCAATGCAAAAGCTCTCTAAGATGGAAGGCTGAATCTCTCACAAAACTGCAAATCCCCAGAATTCTATACTCCCCTGCGACGTGGCAGTTAAAGTGGCACCAAACTGGATTATTTCTGCAATGCGGATACAGTCAAGTCCCCTTCACTGCACACATGAATGACACCAACAGAAGCCTGGCTTTTCCGGGCAATACAAAATTTCCCATTAGGCACTTTTTAAAACCTGCAGATGCTGATATTCAAATAGTTATTCCTTCCCAACTGTTCTGGGGGCATTTTCTTTCCCTGCCTCCACCTGGAGAGAATTCCATGTATCATTCAGAAGATAATTAGCTGATAAGAGAGATTCATTGCTTTTACTTTTCCACCGGAAGCTGGCATAAATCACAGGAGATTCATATATATATATATATATATATATATATATATATATATATATATCCTTCTCTTTTTTTCCTCTTGCAACACTTTGCTAATTTCGTGCCAGGAATGCAAGGTGTTTGGGGGGGATGAGAAGGTAGAGACCTGTTTGTTAATGACAGTTTAATGTCTTCATCTTCCGCACGAAATTCCAACTAATTAATATTTACCCAATTAGAAAATATAGAAGAAGGGAGGGGAGACATCTACCCACATCGGCGCAAAGCTTCACATGGGAAGCAGTGACCCATTTTCTCCAGTTTTCAGGTGCTAATTAAATTAGCCTCTGCCGTTTCAAGAACGAAGCAACCCAAGGCAAAAATAATAAAGAAAGGAGATAAGGATTTAGGAATAGGTGACTGTGTGCCTTCTCACTACTAGGATGGGTCTTTTCCAATGCCAAGTCAGTTGGAGGACATAAGTTGCCCAGAATTTTACTTGGGATCATAAACAAGTTGAAGGTCTCCTGCGTTTCGCACGTTTTACCTATAAAAAGCATCTAAATTTTTCCTAACGCAAAAGCATGGAAGCTCCTTGAGAAATTTGATGTTCTCTGCCTAACAGAAGAGTTTTTGGTAGCCTTGCAAAGGATGGAGACAACCTGGATCTGAAAGGAAGGATGAAGATACTTCCTCTGAGATCCAGGATGTCTCCATCCTTGGGTTGCTGCTGTTGGATGCCTTCAAGACATTGCCAACTTATGGCACACCTATCATGGGTTTTTCTTGGCAAGTTTTGCTCAGAGAGGCTTTCCCATTGCTTTCCTCTGAGGCTGAGAGCGTGTGACTTGCCCATGGTCACCCAGTGGGCTTCATGGCCAAGATAAGAGTCGAACCCTGGTCTCCAGAGTCCTAGTCCAACACTGAAACCACAACACCATGCTGGCTCTCTTTGTGTTGCTGATGGGATTTCAATTTTATTTCCTGGACTTTATGAGTCTTTGGCTCCCAGGACCAACCTGGCCAGAAGGAGTAATGGCCTTCTTGCATGGATATCCATCCATACCATCTTAATTCAGAATAACAACCACAATATCTTGACAAAATGCAGCCCTGTGACTAACACCGTCATATTTGTTTAACACCTTTCACCAGATGAAGAAGCCAGTGGAGCTTGGAAAGCTTGCAAGAGGTATTTTGTGCATTTGGGTTGGCCCAAGAAAGGTCTCAAGCACCAGCATGGTGCATTGGTTTGAGCACAGGACTAGGACTCTGGAGACCAGGGTTGGATTCCCAGCTTGGCCATGAAACCCACTGGGTGACCTTGGTCAGGTCGCATCCTCTCAGCCTCAGAGGAAGGCACTTTCAAAACTTCACTGAAGAACTCTTGCTAAGAAAACCCCACAATAGGTTCCCCATGAGTCAGAAACAACTTGAAGGCAAGCAACAACAACAAAATAAAGGTACCACTGTTTTGTGGAATTTGGGCATTAATGGACTTTGCTTATATGGCCAACACAGCTACCCTTGGTTATGTTTTATGGACCACAAAGTTAGTCCTCCTAGAAGCCCACTTCCATTCATTAAAGTCAACCAGAGAAGGTTCCAATAAAGCTGTTTATAATCAAGATAGAGAACATCGAGTTGATCCTCAGATGCTTCAAGAAGGTCCATAGACCCATTCAGGGCAGAAAAAGAGAACGCTTAGGGTCCTTCCAGAATATTTTGTTGCTTAATGGAAAGTACAAAATGATCCCCAGCCACCCAAGATAAGATGCATAATACCCCAACTTGTCCTATCATAGTCCTCCAGCATTTCTCAACATCTCTAGCAGAGTACCATAAAAATATATAACTAATCACACACAACCCTATCATAAGAGCCCAAGAAGCCAAAATCTCCAGCAAGGTTATCCCATTCTGCCTCACAATGGAGCTAGCCAATGAAGGTCTTCTGAAATGCAAGAGGAGCTGGAAGCCAACCTTTCAGGACCATGGACAAAATGCATAGAGCACTTGCCTAGGCTCATCCCAGCCTTTTATACTACCTTCTCCTGACTCCACCCACTTTAGGCTCCACCCACTTTGGACTCCTCCCCCATGCAGAGCCTTAAAGGGATAGTCCTGGCCAAGATCATCTCTTAACCTTCTCTTCTCTGGACACTCCCTCTGGATGTCCAAACATTTGGAGGACCAAAGGTTTGAAAGTCTTCAAAAGAGGCTGGACAGATACCTGCTCAGTGGTTCCCAACCTTTGTTCCTCCATTTCTTTAGGACTTCAGATCCCAGGAGACTCAGGCAATTTGTCCAACAGTAAGGAATTATGGGAGCTGAAGTCCAAAACATCTGGAAGACCAAAGGTTTGGATGTCTTCAAAAAGAGGCTGGGAAGCTACCTGCTCAGTGGTTCCCAACCTTTGGTCCTCTATTTGTTTCAAACTTCAGAAGCTGCAGTCAACTTGACCAATAGTCAGGAATTATGGGAGCAGAAGTCCAAAACATCTGGAGGACCAAAGGTTTGGATGTCTTCAATAAGAAGCTGGACAGCTACCTGCTCAGTGGTTCCCAATCTTTGGTCCATTTGTTTCATACTTCAGAAGCTGCACGTTCATATCCTGCAGAAGCCGCAGACAAGTTGTCCAATAGTCAAGAATTATGGGAGCAGAAGTCCAAAACATCTGGAGGACCAAAGGTTTGGATGTCTTCAATAAGAGGCTGGACAGTTACCTGCTCAGTGGTTCCCAACCTTTGGTCCTCCATTTGTTTCAAACTTCAGAAGCTGCAGGTAAGTTGTCCAACCAACAGTCAGGAATTATGGGAGCTGAAGTCCAAAACATCTGGAGGACCAAAAGTTGGGGACCACTGCCCTAGCTGGAGTTCCTGCATTGAG